GAGTTGGAGGTTGCTGTGAGCTGTGATGCCATGGCACTCTACCCAGGGGGATAGCTTGAGGCTCTGTCTCAAAAAAAAAAAAAAAAAAAAAAGAATTGCCTAACCCAATAGGTGGAGGTTGCTGTGAGCTGTGATGCCACAGGACTCTACCCATGGTGATAAAGTGAGACTGTCTCTAAAAAATAAATAAATAAAAAGATTATGCCTAATGGTTTTTCATCAAAACTTTTGTAACATTGCCCTGGTTTGATAAGAATGAGCAAGCTCGGTGCCTGTAGCTCAAGCGGGTAAGGCGCCAGCCACATACACCGGAGCTGGGGGTTCAAATCCAGCCTGGGCCTGCCAAACAATGACAAATACAACCAAATAATAAATAGGCAGGCGTTGTGGTGGGTGCCTGTATTCCTAGCTACTTGGGAGGCTGAAGCAAGAGAATTGCTTAAGTTCAGCAGTTGGAGGTTGCTATGAGCTGTGATGTCTCAGTACTGTACCCAGGGCTTGAGGCTCTGTCTCAAAAAAAAAAAAAAAAAAAAGAAGAAGAATGAGTAAAAGCAGTAGATTTCTTTTCCAGTTGGAGATCTCACCTGACCTGTACTCAGGTGGAATTAAAAAAAAAAAAAAAAAAAGAATGAGCAAGAAAGAGCATTGTTGTGCTAAAGAAGGATTCTCTGATGAAGCATTTTTGCTCAAACCATAGCTAACCTCTTATGAAGCAGATCACTCTTTTGCTTTCCAGAAACTCAACAAGCCAAATGTCTTGAGCATCCCTAAAGTTTGTTGCTATGAACTTTGCCCTTGACCAGTCAAGGGGACCACCTCTTTGTGGCCATTGCTTTGATTGTGCTTTTTCCTACTAGCAAAGCTATAATCTCCTGCTATAATTCTTAAAAGAAATGCTTTAGAATTTTGATTCCACTTGTATAAGATTTCCATTTTCATCTGCAGCTGATCATTTTTCAGTCAGTGTCATGTAAGTTGAACCAATAGAGATATCTATGGTGTTGGTGTAGTTTCTGCTCCTGATTCTAAGTCCTCTTTAAGTAAGGAACCCCGAAAATGAATTTTTTACTCAAAAATTGATGTGGATGGTCTGCTACTATGGGCTTTACTTTCAACATTATGTTTGCCTTTCTTAAGGGAAATTTACCCTCTTGAAGAGGGCTGATTTCTCTGGGGGTATTGCATAAATTTTCTCGTTTTTTGGGTGGTGCCTGTGGTTCAAAGGAGTAAGGCACTGGCCCCATATGCCAGAGGTGGTGAGTTCAAACCCAGCACCGGCCTAAAACCACAAAAAAAATTTTTTTTCCTTTTTCTTTTTTTGGAGACAATGTTTCTTGTGGTGGCCCTCAGTAAAGTGTCATGGTATCATAGTTCACAGCAACCTCAAACTCTTGGGCTAAAGTAATCCACTTGCCTAAGCCTACAAAGTAGCTGGGACTACGGTCACCCAACACAATGCTAGGTTATTCTTAGAGGTGGGGCCTGGCTCTTTCTTGCTCAGACTGGTCTCTAACTCCTGAGCTCAGGCAATGCACCCCTCAACTCCTGAACTCAGGCAATCCACCCGCAATTTGGCCTCCAAGAGTGCTAGATTTACAGGTGTGAGCAACCATGCTTGGCCTCACAAACTTTCATACAGTACCGATGAACTTAACATTTTTCCATCCAAGCTTCACTGTAAATTCCATGTTTGTTCTTGCTTCCATTAGAACAGAATTTATGTTGCTCTGATAGGGACTCCTTTGAAACTAATGTACCTTTCTAGTGCCTCAAATCAGATTTTGTTTTGACACATGGGAAGTTAGTACAAAAGTTTATTTTGGTGCAAATAAACTATGAAATCCATATATAGCTTTTACATATTTTCCATAAAAGTTTTGAAGACCCCCTGTATTTTTATAGTAAGAGACACTTTAGAAAGAAAACTTAGGTGATTAATTCAGGAACATCTGACATCATATTATCAAGTATCCTAATCCTTGAATACAGTAGGTACCTTTCCATTATCAGATATCATGTCTACCTAACTATATAGAGATACCCTTTAGTAAAGTTTTATAGCTTTTCTTGTATTGGTCCAATAGACTTCTTGCAAGGTACATATAGATTTTATTGCTAATGTGAAGGATGACTTTTTCTTAATGTCATATTTCCTAATGGTTATTATTGGTAGGTATGAAAATTAATTGATTTTTAATAAGATGGTCTTCTATCTAGTCATCTTGTAAAACTCCATTAATGGCCATAATATTCTATGGGTTGATTATTTTGTATTTTCTAGCTAGGAAATCATGTCTAAAATGATACTTCCCCCATTTTTAGGCATTTCCAGGTATTACTTCAAAAGCAGGGAACTCTAGAAAATGCTGAAGTTTTGGTTATGTGTTTAATAGATTGCTTAATTCTGGCTTTCTTGAAAGGTGTTATATTTATTATTATAGATATAACTGGATTAATTCCTGCTGCTTAATCTGGTGCTTTATATTATGCATGCTAATGATTTCTTGCATCAAAAAGTGCTAGGTGTATATGTATGAGCTACCTTGCCCAGCCCTGATTGTCTTCCCACTAGTTCAAGACAAAAAAACCTGTAACTAATTAAAAAAATACACTTTTTCCAAGTCTGTTTTTTGACAACATCTAGTGGGACATAAAGTCAGTGTAGTAGGCCTAAACTAACATTAAAAAAAAATAGAAATCTAACTAAAAATAGTAAAAGGCATTATAGAAATTAGAAATTATCATGGTGACATTAACATTTTTAACCTTAATGTTAGTACTGTTATATGTAAGAAGGATAAGTATTTTCAGACAGACTTAATTATTATTCTATATATACATATTTACACACTGGTATGTAATATAAAACTTTTTTCCTCTTGGTCACAGCTCAATGGTTCAAATATACCAATCAATTAAAAATTAAATCAGTGTGTAATTAAAAATCAGTGTGTAATTCTTCACTCAAACAAAGCCAGATAACATGGTTAGACTTACTTTCTGTTGCTGTCCCAACCAGTCCCACTGCCTACCCACCCATAAGTTGTTATGGAATCATTATAGGTTCTAGTTTGAATTAAAAAAAAAAAAAAAAAAAAGGTAAGTACTCAACTTATTTAAACTTAATACCAAATTTGACTAATTTCTTTGCTCACCATGGCCTTGTGTCCCGGACAGATTCGTTCCGGTTTCATATATCTTCTTTCTGGATTACGTCCTTTAGTAATTCTTTCATAGTAGGTCTGTGGGTAGTAAACTTTCTGAGTCTTTGAAATGTTGGCAAATTGCTTTTTCCTACTTTGGCTGGGCATAAAATTCTAGATTCTTTGAATGGGGTAGGGGAGCAGAGCAGGAGGAAGAAGCCAGGGACAACTAAAATTTGGATTGATAACTAAATACTTCACCTAATTCATTTAGAATTTAAGTTATTTACTTATATACACATGAATATACTTTATTAATACTTCTTGATATTTAACTTTTTTGGTGTTTCAAAAATTTAAGGAAAGTACTTACATATTTATTATGTAATTCAAAATAAAAAGGTCACTTACGTGAACGGGAGAGCTTGGATCGATTCTAAATCTTCTGGGGCTTGGGCTTCTACCAAACTTACATCCATTAAAGTACATACTCCACGAACAGCCAAAAGAGAATGAAGCTCCACAAGTCTCTGGGTCAATTCCTTGACATGTGCAAGTACGACTGTAAGATGGTAATGGCAAGGAAGGTAACTGATGAAGCAGGAAAATATCTTAGAAATAAGATTAAGTTTATAACTTTAGAAGTACAAATAGTTATAACATTTATCTATTATTTTTTTACTTATCTATAGTAGTTTAATGGTAACAATAAGAAGCTAAGTATACTTGGTTATAATCAAATTTCTACCTAAAATATTTGGCCAGGATTATGATACCAAAGACATGGGAATAAACTATATAGTTGTAAAATATCCAAGAACCCCCCCATCTCTTTTAAAAATAGAAAAAACTGGCTGGCTATTGTGGTGGGTACCTGTAGGCCCAACTACTTGGGAGGTTGAGACAAGATGATTGCTTGAGTTTTTACCCAGGGCAGATTCTGTCTAAAACAAAAAATGCAGAACCTCAGGGCTGTGCCACATGTAGGACATTTGCATAGCCCTAAAATAGATTCTAGGGTGACAATGATTTGAATGCACCAATATTGGAAACCAAGGAAAAAAGTCATAAATTGTTCTTGTGGTTCTAAATTTACATGTTTAAAACTCCTTGTATGTTATAATTAGTATTTACACAATGAAAATATGCCGTTTTTAAAAACACAAATATCGGGAGGCACCTGTGGCTCAAAGGAATAGGCTGCAGACCCCATATGCCGGAGGTGGTGGGCTCAAACCCAGCCCTGGCCAAAAATTATAAAAAGAATTTAAACAAAAATCTAGGTTTAAAAAATATGGTAGGGCAACGGTCCCATATACCAAGGGTGGTGGGTTCAAACCCGGCCCGGGTCAAAATGCAACAAAAAAAATAAAATTGAATAAAAAAATATGGTAAATATTGATTATGGATGTTATAACTAAACAACATTAAATGATAAGCAAGGACCTGTTATACATCAATTCACTTAAAGTTGCAGAGGATGTTAATTCAGGATCAAGTGTACTAAAAAGAAACATAATTACTGTCTAACTTGTGAAAGAGAAAGAAATGCCTGAATACAATTGAAAATCCAAACACAAATAAGGTAAAAAATAAATATTTTTGATTACAATAAAAAAGAAAGACTTTGGTTCAGAGTCTATGGCACAGTGGTTTCACCAAGGCTGGAGGGTTCAAACCTGGGCAGGGGCAAGGGAAACAATTACAACTGCAACAAAAAAAATAATCGTCAAGCATTGTGGTGGGGGCCTATGGTCCCAACTACTTGGGAGGCTGAGGCAAGAGAATCACTTAAGCCCAAGAGTTTGAGGTTTGTGTGGGCTATGATACCATGGAACTCTACTGAGGGCAACAAAATGAGACAGTCTTAAAAAAAAACAAAAAAAGTCTATGTAAAAAATAACATAGCAAAAGTAGTGTTGGCAAACTATAGTGCAAAGAGTCAATAGCCCTAAGAGACAAAATAAAATCCAAGAAAATGAACAATTCTTTCAAAAATTATTAAACAATTAACAGATGGTGGGGAATAAAAGACAAAGTAATAAAAAATACTGACAATAACAAAAATTCTCATCAAAATTACACTGAGGTCATTTTTCTATTTAGTGGGCAAAATTTAAAATTTGACAACATATTCATTGGAGAGACTAGAGAAAAAACATTTACACTACATAAAGGAAATGAGAAATCATCCAACCCCCTGTGGAGGATCCTTCCTTTATGTAAAAAATCCCTTGTATTAAGATTCTAGAAATGAGGCCGGTGCCTATGGCTCAGTGAGTAGGGCACACTGAGGTGGTGGGTTCTAGAGTGACCCCGGCCTAACTCCAACAACAACAACAACAAAAATAGCAGGCGTTGTGGCGGGCACCTGTAGTCCCAGCTACTTGGGAGGCTGAGGCAAGAGAATCACCTAAGCCCAAGAGCTGAAGGTTGTTGTGAGCTGTGACACCACAGCACTCCATGAGGGGGGAAAAAAAGTGAGACTGTCTCTTAAAAAAAAATTCTAGAAAAGAGTTGAATCAGTTTAGAAAAACTGAGGTGGCTCGGCGCCTGTGGCTCAAGTGGCTAAGGTGCCAGCCACGTACACCCAAGGTGGCGGGTTCGAATCCAGCC